TGGTCACCACCCATCTTGAGGAGTTTGCCCCCTCACATATACTAATGTGCCAAAAACAGGACTTTAATATCACCAACCATTCCCATGTTATTACAGTGTATCCATATAAATGGCCCATCCTGTAGAATGTTTTGGTTCAAGATACTCTCTATATCAGCTCCCTGAGCCTGGTACTGTTGGAGGCTTCTTACTTTTAAAAGGGAGTTCTTTCTCCCTGCTGTCACCATCTGATTTTTGGTGTTTTCTTTTTACTATTGTAAGGTCTATAATATAAAGTGCCCAGAGGTGGCTGTTGTTGTAAATTGGTGTTATATCAATAAAACTGAATGGAATACACAAGACAGACCACAGTCTTATAATTAATAACCTGTGGGGCGTAAAATTGAGCAGGGACAGACGCGAATCAGGAGAAATAGCAGCAACAGAAATTCAGTTTTGGTTTAAGGGGAAGCAGCAGAAAGCTGAGGATATGTCTTAGGAACCAAACAACGCAGTTTAATGTTGTTACTAAACAATACTGTTAAGTTAGCTCTCACAAATTAAGATACACTAAAATACTGTTACTTCCTTATAATGAAGTTGATTCTGCCTGAAAAGAGCCTTTGCTTGATGATGTTGGTCATAACTACATGTGGGAAAGTTAAGCCATTTCATATAAATCTTATTTTCTTTTTATTCTTTGGAAGCACTGATGTAAAAGCACACTGGAATTTGACCCTTTATGTCTCATAAGAAAAGCTAATGATTTTAAAGCTTTTATAAGTCATTTTCATGAAAATTATATATTTTTAAGGTATTTCTGTTTGGCACAGTTTTACCCAGCATGCCCTTCCTGATGCAACCCCAAAGGTTCTTTGAGTCTTTGGCTGGAATCAGCTTTTAGTTTACTAAGCAAATCTGTTAACTACTACATTATAGCAGCACTTTATTACAACTCCCTTATTAGACCTTATCCCGTATCACATTTAAAACATTTGTACAGAGAATGCAAGGGGATGCTTGTACTTGGCCTCCTTGAGCTGTCGATCTGGTGGGAGAACTATTCTCATCCTGAAGTCTCTTTCCTGGGGGGGGGGAAGACATGACAAAGCATTATCAGATTACTAGCTCTGCGATCAGTGTACTACAGAGGTTAATACCTTCTACAACTAACGCGCTAATGAAGAACACGTGACCGACCAACCTACGTTAAGGAATTGGATAATATTAGGTTTCTTTGGGTGTTTCAAGAGACACGTAAATAATAGAAATTTACTTTAGACCACGTTTTCGACTTTTTTTCATCGCTTTAATACGGCATGACACTCGTAGTAAGTAACTGCTTTCAAGATTATATACCAGCTTATGAAGTCGTTTAATGCGCTAATACAATTACGGTTCTGCTACCGATACTAATGTAAGCTGCTTAAAAAAACAGGACGAATTTACCAGAAGTTTATATAAATCAGTTAGATGTCTAAATATATGGTTTCCAGACAAGTATTTGCATCCAAAGCAAAAAATCGTTAAATTAATCGTTTTTTTAATATGACACTGACATACGTCCAACAAAAAACAGCACACAAACGCATCATTTTACCTGAACAGTGATAAATCCATCGTAGACTGTCTGCTGCTTGTTGAGAGGTACAAGCAACGGGTTATCGTTTACCAGTGATTTCTCCATAAAACTTTCTATGACCTTTTACGCCTAAGTTTCCGCTCGCAAAGCAGGGTGGCTACTTCCTAGCTTGAGTTGGACCGTAGAGACTGGCACTTTCTGATTAGTCGCTGACTTGAACCAAACCTGAGAAATTCAAGCTAAAGCTGTTAAACGTAGAATTAGCAAGAGGTGCGTTGACAGGAGAATCAATCGCAACCCCTGCATCCCGCCATTAAATCCCAAACAGTCGACGTCATCCAGTTGCTTTCAAAGACTTAAAAAAATTATCGTAATTCTGAAGTTTCTTCACAGTCGTTGGTGTGACGTTTAAACGTTAGTGTGTTGATGATTTTACTGATTAACTGCCGGTCTGTACGGAAGGTTTAACTGTTGAAATTACTGAAAATTACCGACATTATTGCCCATTAGGTAATTGCGTCTAATTGACAGAAACATAATTTTTTATTTTATATAATCTTGCTCTCATCCCCTGGGGGTTGGTGTGTTTCTCAAGCTCAGGTCTTCTACCAGACAGCCTTGAATTTATTTGAGGGTCCTTTTTCTAGGACTACACTCTTGTGGACAGAGCCCTCCGAAATGTGCCTGGAATTTGGTAAAGCCATTCTTCCACTTTTGGGGTAACAGCTCCTAATGCTCCTATTACCACTGAGACCACTTTTGACTTATCCTTCCACATCTGTTGTTTCTTCACCCCATGATGCTTCTCTATTTTGTGTGCTCCTTCTTCCAGTAGTTGCTTTCCACTGGGATTGTCATATCTATCACTACTTTGTCAACCGCCACTACATGTGATTGGTTGGCCTAGAATACAGGCGTCAAACTCCAGTCCTTGAGGGCCGATGTCCTGAAACTTTACATGTCTCCCTTCTGCAACACACCTGAATAAAATTTAGTAGGTCCACAGAAGTGAACTGCATGCTGAGGTGATTCATGTTACAGCAGCTCAAGAGTGAATGAACATGGTGCAATAAAAGCAGTTTTAGAAGTACTTTTATTTACCTTTTATTTAAATTTACTTGAGTAGGGTTAGCAGTTGCCACCTCTGCATGTAGTCAAGACTTGCTAATGACCTACAAATTCTATTCAGGTGTGTTGCAGCAGGGACACATGTAAAGGATGTTTCAGAATACCGGTCCTCAAGGACTGGAGTTCAACACCCCTGGTCTAGAACCTATCCCTGTTGTTCTTAACCACTTGTGGTGGTATCTCCCATTAGGACTTGGGGACTTCTAGTCCATATGTGGCCCAGATGTTCCTCTGCACTGTCTCTATGGATCTGCTGCTTAGGGTTTGTTTTTGTACTGCTATGCTCAGATTCTCAGTTTCAAAAGTACCGGTTTGGCACCAGTATTGGATAAAACCTAAATGATACCCATCCCTATTTGGCAGATGCTCTGTGTTTCATCCTGGATTGTGACTCTGACCTGCACTTCTCCTTGCCCTCCATCGCTCTATGTTGCTCAAAGAACCATAGAAAAAGTGCTGGACTTCAGATGAACACCGTGCATTGTGTCTTGACATCAGTGGCATGTGTCTACTCCTGTGGCCAATTTATTATTCCAGCTGGGCATCTGATGATCAGAAGGGCATATGTATTGATGGCTTGGCTCTAATTCCAACAATTCAGCTGACTTCTCAGCACCTGTCTTATTTTCTGGAATGTATTTGGCTGTGGCTGACCTTTGTGCATCTTTATCATGGTTCTAGTTGGCCTGTGGAATACCCAGACACTTGTAGCTATCCCCTATAACTGCTGTTCTGCCTCCTGGTAGGTCACCTTCTCTCACTTTACAGCCATTTGGCCACACATATTCCACACTTATTCATAACAGTTTTTTTTTTTCATACTTATTCATACACAAAAGTGTCATGAGAGACAGGTCCTGGATGAAAAAGAGATACGATTGATTACTGACGTTTTACAAGCTGCCAAACAAAGGCTCATAACTCTTGCCACTAAACTAAAGCGATATACCAGAAACACAGAGGCCAGGAGAATACATGGTCTGTTCTCCAAAGATCCATCTAGGACGTATTCCTATCTACAAGGGAACAGTAGCACAAGGGCAAACCCACCCAACACTGAAACTTAATAATGCTGGATAAAAATCCAAGAGTCTAAGAGAAAGAGTTGACACCACTGCCAAGTGCCTAGTGGACCTAAGAGCAGAACGCAGCAGTCTCCCAGAGCATAGCCAGTCAACATCACAAAGGAAGACATCCAAGAAGTTTCCAAAATGAAGAGCTAATGACCTGACATCATCTGCACCTACTGGCTGAAGAACCTAACAGCACCCAATGAGGTACTCATCCAGACTGATCCATCCAGACCCATCATAAAAAATCCCTTTAAGGCAGCGGTCCCCAACCCCCAGGCCTCGGACCGGTACCGGTCCGTGAGTCGTTTGGTACCGGGCCGTGAGAGTTGAGGCTCAGGTCTGAAATGTGTGGTTTTCAGGGTTTTTATCGGTTTTCAGCGTTATTTTGTTATCATTTTTATCATTAACTTGGTTTTCCTGGGTTTTTTCACGTGTGTTATGAATAAATCTTCCTTTTTTCGGTAGCGGTACTAGTTTTATTTTGTTGTATTTATTCGCGACACCTTAAAGGCTGGTCCGTGAAAATATTGTCGGGCATAAACCGGCCCGTGGCGCAAAAAAGGTTGGGGACCGCTGCTTTAAGGGACACTCAGGCATTTTAGACACCATGGGGAGTAGGCACAGGAGTCAATACGTAAGCACAGTTTAAAAAATCTTTGGAAATAACACCAGAGGACCAAAGCAGGTTGACAGAGCAGTACACCAGAACTCTAAGACCAGGCAGACCAATCATGGATATGGGAGTGCTTGACACTGTACAAGGTTGATAATGTTCTAACATTTATTAGCAACTCAGTGAGACTGTGGAAGACTACACCGGAGGCCTACTCCAAGGCAATCGCACAAGATGCCATCAAGTGTGGAATATACCAAGTTGATGCACTGTCCTCATTGCTGTTCTGCATATGCCCGGACCCCCTCATCACTAAGACCAATTACAGATTTAGATTCAGGAGCGGAGTGTCAAATAATACAATATTAAAAAGTATATTTTATAGCCTGGTAGAAAAATCTGTTTTAGAGTATGGATATTCTCCACTTCATAACAACTCTATAGGGATACAATTTCTTTTTTTTTAATCCATCATTCTGGATACCTGCCTATTTGATTGACAGGTATTTTCACACAGGCAGCTTTACCTCCTCATTTTCTTCTTTGCTTCAGATCTGCTAATTACAGCCACTGAAGTGGATCTTCCTGCTGTGGAGCTTTTATAATGTAATTATCTGTCAAAAATATGGCTTGCTGTGTCTTAAAGCCCATTCAAGAAATTTGTGCTTCAGTTTTAGTGAATCAGTTACTAATGTTTTCTTGGTATGCTATTAGTTTATTATTGCTAATTACTAGATACAATTATGTGAAAAATAAAGTTTTCATAGGACTCTATGTAGTCCTGTGAAGTCAATAGCTTGTAGAACAACAGATCAAGGTTGGTGGGCTGTAGTAGCTCAAAAGCAGAGAAAACAAGTGCTACATAAGAACCAGTCTTTTTACCATCACCCACTGGTTTGTAAACTCCAAGCTAGGGCTGGGCCATATCATACCGTTCACGGTAATACCGGTATAATGTTGGGCAACGATAAGAAAATGAAATATCGCGATAGAATTTGGGTAAAACGCGCACGCGCTGTGCCTTTGTTTTCATACACACATGGCGGAAAAAGCGACGGAGAATGAGGAGGGCGAAAGTGGATCGTTGAATGAAACGGATGAACCAGAAGTGGTTTGTAAAAATGCTGCAACTTCAGTGTGGAACTGGTTTAGCTTTCGACCGTCAGATACACAACAAAGCACTATTTTTGGTAGAGCATGCTATAGCGAGCCGTCGTTATTACCGTGTTGTTTGGAAAATACGGCACACTTAAAATCAATCCTTTGATTTTTCTGAAAATTGACAGTGTGTTTGTATAACCTCTTTTTAAGTTTTGTGGATATTATACATGGTTGTGCTCAGGATATGTCGGCCAGTTTCCACTGGAAATGCCTTTTGGTTAAACTGTCAGCGAGGAATTTGCATTTGCACTGTTACATTTTTATATAACTTCAATGCACATAAAAAAACAGCTGCTTGTTTAAGTGAAAATACATTGATGGGGTTTTTTTTGCACTAATAAAGTTGTGGAGTTGTAAAGTATTTTGTCTAGTGTCAATTATATCTTCAGTTATATCGTTTTCGCAGATTTTCAAATGTATATCGTGATAAATATTTTTGGTCATATTGCCCTGCTCTACTCCAAGCTAAGTATTTTAGATGTCAGTATTTTGGTATTTTGGAAACAGAGGTGATAAGCAAGGGGTGGATCTGACTGTGAAGCTAAAGGCTAACTTGCTAGCCATTTTAACAGCTCTATTTTCCCTCAGAGTCCTATCCAATGAAAGTCTATTTGCAACCACAAAGGTCACACACCAGTGACGGGAGGCACCTCATATTGGCATCATTTTTCAGATCAAGAAGCTTAAAATGCACAGTTAAAATGACTTAAATTTTCAACTGTGGAAGTCACTACATCCTGGTGTTATATATACTCTCTGGTATTTTATTGTATTGTACAGATGCAGACAAAAAAAACACACCAAAGAAAGAAGAGTAACAAAGAACAGACAAACTTAGTCAGAAACTAACAAGAGCAACATAGGGGAGTAAAAACACAGAAAGCTTGACCTTCAAAACAAAACAGGAAGTACCATGAAAGATGGACAATCAATGCAGATAACAGAAGACGCATTCAAAGGAAAGACATGGAAAAGGAAGACAACTAACACGTGACCAACAGATAGCTATGGCTTAGTATCTGCTCTAGTATACAAAAAAGTGTAAAATTACTCAAAACATGTCTTATATTTTTTTATTTCTTTGCTTTGATTACTGCTTTGCACACTCTTGGAATCCTATCGATGAACTTCATGAGGTAGTCGCCTCAAATGGTTTTCCAACAGTCTTGAAGGAGTTCCCATGCTGAGCCCTTGTTGACCCTTTTGCCTTCACCCTGCGGTCCATCTCATCCCAAACCATCTTGATTGGGTTTAGGTCAGGTGACTGTGGAGGCCAGGCCATGGCGCAGCAGCTATTTGACCATAAAGTCTCCTCTGAACAGCTGAGTTAGAGATGTGCTACTGGAAGTCTGT